AAAAAGACTCAATTGTGTTTATACTTGAACGACTTGACCATTATTGGCGGTTCACGATGAGTTTTGATCTCGATTGGTTTTAACCTTGTTCGCGGTTTCACCATGAGACGTAAATTGTGCTTATACTCGATCGACTTGACCTGGATTGGCATTTCACCGTGAATGTTGATCTCAAATGGTTTGGCCTCGTTCGACATTTCACTGTGAGAAATAAATTGGGTTTATACTCAGACATTTTGGCCATGATCGATGTTTCATCGTGAGTGTTGATCTCAAATGGTTTGGCCTCGTTCGACGTTTCACCATGAGAAGTAAATTGTGTTTATACTCAGACAACTTCGCCATGATCGGCATTTCATTGTGAATGTAAGATCCGAATTAAAGGGAAAAAATGTCATTTGTCTGGGGAGTACTTGTTTGGATGGCCGTTTAGGAGGTGCATCATGTTGGAATGCTCAAGGTATCAGAAGTGAAGAGAACTACATCATCCCAAGTCTTCTGATTGTCAAAAAGGATGGGTTCGTGATCGTCATCGTTGCAGCTGCTTGATTGCTTCGAAAATAAGGTTCGGCATCGCGACATGGATATTTGAAATGGATATCTCAGGGTAAGGGATTGTCACAAGTTGCTAAGAAACCTTAGCTTTTGGTTTCACTTTTCACAAGATAAAAGTACAACGATTGTACCATAAACATGTGATCAACATGAAATACCCTCGAAAACTTCATAAGATAACTTTATTCACATGGAATACATGAACATACAGTGGGGAACACATGATTACACAAATAAACATATATATATATTTCTATCTATTTTTGACATGTTTTCAATTTCTGAAGTCATGAATGAGGCCCCAAGTTGAGGATCCATGTTCTCTCGTGACACTTCTCGAGCCTCTGTTTGTGTCGATGTTTGCTTTTAGGCATGTCATCCTTATGTGATCAATCCTTTAGGAGGTATGTCGATCTATCGATTTGAAACATCTTTGCACATATCAAGATCTATTTTTTTTTTCCTATTTAGCAATTTTCATTAATTAAATAAAAATCTTGTGGTTTTAGCTGGCCTTGGTGGTGACTCCTCGGTATGTGGCTGGATTGGCCCCCGGTATTTTTATTCCAACCCAACTTGGCGATCTGAACTTTGGATGGTCATAATCAAGAACAATATGGTGACCGCCTGACTAAACAGGTTGATCTCTAGGTTGAAGGTTTTAAGACCTAAGGACAAGATCTGTGAAGGAATCATAAAGGGTTATCCTTCTCAGAACCGTAATTAGATTTTCGGCCGTTGGCGCCATCGTTATTCTAGGACCAATGTCTCCCACCTTTCAATGTTATTTTCGAGGGTAAGCTAGTCGATCCGTTTGCTTGTTGACAAGTAGTTGTGGATATAGATTTTTTATGGTAAGAGGATACGAGAAGATGAAACTTTTGGGGGAAATTTTAGTTAGACAAAATAACAAAATAAATAAGGTTGGTAGGGGGTCGGCCGAGTCGCCTTTTTTTTGCCATAACGGTCCATAAACACCATTAGAGGAGATTGGGAATGGTGTTTTATATAGTTTCATGTGGGTCATGGCTATTTATAGAAAAAAGGCTCAGATGTAACCCTTGACGACCGCTCTCATTCTATCGCCATTTTGTTGACGTGATAATAACAACTAAAATAAATTATGATTAATGGAGAGGTTTAATCGCTTGATTTTAGGAAACTAAGGTAATATGGGGTAGCAGTTTTGGTATAAACATGGAAATTAAAAATATTATAAGACAAACGCATATATAAAAATATTTGAAACAGAAATAAGATGCTATATCAGCAATTTGCCATGATCACATGGGGGATCAACAAAAGGAAGTATTAGTATTACGTCAACTGAATAATGTGTTTGTGTGTCCCTTTCCTCGTTTCATGGGCCCTAAGGGCCGAATTTATGCACATAAAAAAGAAAATGTCACCGCGACTTAGAGGCCAACTAAGGGCGTAGGAAAGTGACACACGTCCCCATGAAAATACTCGTTTTTTTATGATGAGACTGATTGAGCAGTCACTTTACTAAGTTATTTTGCCAGCCATTTTTCATATTTTAGAGAGATCGACATTCTTCGAGGGAAAGAATGAAGACAGATCGACCCCTGAAAATGTGGATCGACATGGTTTTGGCAGCAACATATCGATGTCCTGAAAATCTGGATTGACATCACTTTTTGGCAGCTGCGTTTCATGGATCGTTTTCTTCCGGGGTTTAGGCCCAAGTTTCGATTGGCTTACTTTCTGCACTTTCTGACCAACCGAGAACACATGTGATTTTTTATGTATAACACTAATTGACAACCAAATTAGTAGTCTAATTTTGTCATTAGGCTTAGTTGAAATTATATGTGTATGTGTGTGTGTAAACATACACTAACACACACAAACAAATCTATACACAACCATATGGGTGAGCATAACCGAGCCAAGACCGAACCGTGCAATTTGGTGCAATTTATTTCATTTTTGTCCTACACTGCGATGAGGTGCGGTTATTATTTTTTATATGTTTGGTTTTTGATTTCGTTCGGTTCGTGCGGTTTTGCGCCGAACCACACCAAATTGAATAAAATATATAAATATAAAACAAAAAACTGAGCTGAACTGTGCATTTCATTTCGATTCAGTTCAGTTTGATTTGGTTATTTCAATGTAAATAATATCGGCTCGGTTTTCGCCCCTTTTTTTTTTACACTGTGGTGCAGTTCAATTATTTTTTTTATATGTTCAATATTTTGATGTTTTTGTGGTTAGGTAACATAACCATAATTTAGCGTATAGATTATCATGATATATCTTAGTTGTGCCCTTCACTTATATGTTACATATAAATATGATAATTACTTTACATAGTCAAACCCGTCCATTTCTCCACAACAACAAAATAAGTCCAACCCACGTTTGTATAATGATCTTCACAAAAACACAACTTTCTTCATTTGGTAGGTGCTCTGTCCCAATCCCTCCCATTAAAAACAACCTGCAAACTATTTAAAGCCTATTTATATACAAACATGCACACACTTTATTCTCTTATTTGTCTTTTAATTTCTTCATAAGATACCTTCCCAACAATATTGGTATGCACCACATGCATCACTTTTCTTATGATTTGTGATATATCATGCCATTGTTTTATTTTTATTTTTTTGGTATCCTTTGTGTAATTTCATCATATATTATTCAATTAATCTTCATTTTGTTCATCTCGTGCGATTACACGAATCAAGAATTTATCGTCTAATTCCATGGTTGGTTCAATGTAGCTTATTAAAAATCATTGCGACTATATATATCTTCGGTTCCCTTTTTTCATATGCAGAAAGCATTTGATTTTGGGATAAGCGTAGCGGCATGCAAGAACAAAAGGAAATGAAGGGTCGCTAAATTTTAGGAAAACACACACATGCATGTATAGCTTTTGTCGTTACACGAACACATAAAGCCGGAAAAGAAAAGAAAGAAAGAAAATGGGGTCTCCAACAACGATGGATAGCCATGGCCGTTCTGAAAGCCCGAGGAAATCTTCAATGGACAATCTTTTGGGACTATTGAGAATAAGGGTGAAAAGAGGCGTTAATCTTGCTGTTCGTGATGTCCTAAGCAGTGATCCATATGTTGTTATCCGACTAGGAAAACAGGTTTTAATTTTCTCCTACTCTTTTATGTTCAAATATTCATGAGAGATCAATATGTTCGATGAATTGATTTACTTTGCCAGATTAATTTACCAAGAATATAATGTGTTGGCAAGATCTGAATCGTTGATTTTGGTACGCAACATTACAATAAAAAAGAGTAACAGAAATCGTAAACGTGTGTATATTTTCGACAACTCAATCTGTAATCACTAGTGTAAACCATTTTAGTTATGTAGCATGACCCATGTTTGTTTTATGTACTTTGATTTGTTCGACGTACGTGAAGAAAGTATCCTACGTACGTTTCAACTTCGTTACATTGGTTACCAATTTGGCTAGATCGATCTCTTCTCCTTTTAACTTCATTCACAAATAAATTTTTGTTTCTAATTATATCTCTCTTGCTGGTGCAGAGATTGAAGACTCGTGTTATCCCAAAGGATATTAATCCCGAGTGGAATGAGGACCTCACACTTTCTGTTTCAGATCCTAACAAACCAGTTTCACTGGTAAAATAAATATCAAATTCATATAATTTAACTCTATGAGATGATCCTTTTATTAGATTTAATGGACCTTTCAATTAAAAAAAATAAATCATACACAATAGCAACATATATGCTTATTATTCGCTTTTGCGTACGATTATTTTTTTAGACCGTTTACGATCATGACACGTTCAGCATGGACGACAAAATGGGAGATGCAGAGTTTGATGTCAGACCGTTCATAAATGCCCTTAAGATGCATTTAGATGGCCTTCCAAACGGCACGATAATCACAAAGATAATCCCGGCTCGATCCAACTGTCTAGCCGAAGAGAGTTGTGTGGTGTGGAAAGACGGTAAAGTAATCCAAGACATGTGCCTCAGGCTAAAAAATGTCGAGTGTGGAGAAGTCGAACTTCAACTCCGATGGATCGAGCTTCCCGGGTCTAAAGGGTTATAGACGGGACTTGGGGAACACAATTTTCCCGCCAAATTGGCCCGATCAACCGATTTTTAAAAAGAGTATATTCGGATAAAATGGGCTTCGATTTAAAAAA